TTTGCAGATGAACCTAGAGAGAGATCAGCAAACATATGGAACAGATTTGCCAGTATTTTGATACCATCATCAATTACAGTAGAACTTCTTAGTATAGACTCTTAACAACACAGTATCGGAAGTTCCACAGGAGAAAGTAGAAACAATATTTAAGATTATGAAGTCACCAAGAACTTCTAGGCTTCAGGAAATGTGCAGACAAGGAATATGTACCACAGGTAAAACAATAGGAAGCAGAGTGCAGGCTGGACTATATCTTAGAAACTACAAATTACTTTTAATTACCTTGTCATAAATGAAATTTAACAAAAGTATAAACTGAGGCAATTCTCTGAACATGATATCATTTATTAACTGGTGGGTGGTACCTGATAATAAAGGATGGTTGTTATGATAGAAATTCTAAGAGACAAAGTTCCAAGCATGAACAATCAATTATTAGTTAGACTAGCAGTAACCAATAAATTGGGTCATTTCTTTCAATAACCAAAGACCCAGAGTGAGGAACAACAGGGCCATTTAAACTTAGGTCTTCCTTCTGACTGGCCTGACAGAACATCATTTGAACCTTCCCCGGCAAAGGCAAGGCAATCTCCACTGGTAGAAATTTTAATGAGGAGGTGGGTTAAGAGTTCTCAGCTCCTCTCTGTTCTCTATTACTTCATCTTGGGAAGGAGGAGGGGTACTAATCCTCAGCTGATAAGATGAGTCTACATCTGGGGAAAGTGGACTGGCTTTCAAATATAGCTGATTATATCATTATTAAGTGACACTTAAAGAATGCTAGTTGCTTTATAATACCCAGCTGCCCCTAGCAATTTTGGCTAGAAAAACAAAAGCCATCTCAATCAGGTTTCTCCCATTTGGTCCATCCATGTAGACCAAAGTCTACAAGTCACTCCTACTTTTGATTAGAAAGCAAGGACAAAAGAGACTTGTCCCCTAGGCTCAAACTGGTCGGTCTATGGGGTAAACAGAATTGAGTGTCCCACTTGGGAGAGGCCCACCCAGCCCAAGTTGATTAATGAGCAGATGCCTTTGGGGCTGGGAGCAATCATATTACTAGATCACACCCTTCAGAAACTGCCTGCCCTTTATATTGTGGGGTCTGACAAAATAAGGAAAAGGATGGCTCACAGAGTAATGCTGGTCATTAAATAATACAGCATGATATCAATTTTTCTCAACCTCAAGCTGCTAAGAGAAACAGTATTATTGACATAGTGATTCTTTATGACTGAAAAAATTACAGGAGTGATCACAGTCTGTGAAAAATCAAAGTCACAGGTGGCCCAAAAGTTAATCAAGAGCTTACCTCTGTGGTGAGAATAAAAATATGTGTGCATAAAGCAGTATATAGAATATCATCCAGTTAAATAAATATATGTTAAGAACTGAGGTGGGCTGCTCATGAAAGGAAGGAAAGAATAATCAATGGTCAGTTTGCATCCTGCAGTGGTATCTATAGAATGACAGAAGACCCAAAGGAAAGCTCTCAAAGTTTAGGTAGACATTCTATTGAGAATTTGTGGCAAGACACGGACAAGAATCACATAAAATGAGAAACTATGAATGGATTGGAGTCTGTACTAGAAAGAGTACTCACACTGGTAAGTCCACAAGTCCATTGTAGTCAGGTTAAATTACCTGAGAGAGAAGATAACAGTCAGCTAACACATCAATACAACTTATTTTTCTGATTAATCCACTGTCACCTCTGTCCCAGAGGTATTGAGATACATAAGAAATAAGTTCTGGTGGATGGGGAAAGGAAAGGGAAGGCTTGAAATATGAAACATGAGGTGTCATAGTGGAGGACCCTAAAGAGGTAGGGGTTAGAGAACACCAAAAGTAATAATCAGTGCCTAATGATTGTGAAAAAAAACTCATGGAATAAATGATTGAGTGTCCCCTTCACCCTATAATCTCTTTCCTCTTTTGATTCTACCTGCTGTATTTTACCCACTTTACTTCTGCCTTATCCATTGCCCATTTTTCACTGTTGTTCCATTATTTATTTCCTCTTCTCATTGTTCTCTTATCCAGTTCAAAATAATGACCTCTTATTGTGGAATGTGACTGAACTTGCCAGAGGAAAGGTGCTATGCAATTTATATGGAATGGAAACAACCAGAGAATACGATTCAAATGGGAGTTGGGGGGAGGCATAAAATTATTACTTCAATAAACACATGAAGGAAAACTACTTTGGTTTGAAAACAATTATCTTTATACTTTAAATGCCTGTTGATTGGTTTATACAGACTTACTGTTATCATACAAAAATAAAATGAAAATGTAGAATGTTTCTTAAAACTCAAATAAAGTTCCTTTAAGACTTTAAAAAAAAACAATCTCTGAAGTCAAGAGGGGAAAGCATTCAGTGCTCAATTCACTTTTTAAAAATCCAAGAAACTATGTTATGTATTGCCTTAAAAAAAACAAAAACAAAAACAAAAAAACAACTACATTTCCCTTGAGCAGCAGTTCATGGCAATGTGCTCAGACAAGTAGTGGGGGAAATGACTTAGTTATGATTTATACTTAAGTCTAACATCTGGGTACATGTAAACATTCAAAGGATAAACTGATCCATAAAACTGTTGATCATCACAACAGATGTACATTCTTTATTGTTAATGTATGGTTTCTTTTCCCTTTCTCCTAAATGTCTGATGCCTCCAAGTGCCCTTTCATCTTTCACAGTGTTTTCTGACACCTTTGTCTTGTTAAAAAGTCTGTGTCAGCTTATACCCAGGCCCTTCTTAATTATGCAAGGTAAGGGAACAAATTAAATCTAAACATCCTTCTATATTAGAAACAGAAAACCACAAACACTACATGGTATGAAATATCCTATCCAGTATTTATCCATTTTTTCCTGCTTCTCTTCTTTGAGTTATAAATTCTTAGAAGTTAGAAACCAGTCTCTGAAAATTGTTTAGATTAAAAATCACTATGTAGGGGCATCTAGGTGGTGCAGTGGATAGAGCACCGGCCCTGGAGTCAGGAGGATCTGAGTTCAAATTCAGTCTCAGACACATAACACTTTCTAGCTGTGTGACCCTAGGCAAGTCACTTTAACCCCATTGCCTAGCCTCCCAAAAAAATCACTATGTAATATCTAGCTATACACAAAGTTTCAAAATTTCTGTTCGTACATCTAGTTGGTTCTGCATGCTAACTTGACTTTTTTCTTTGTTTATTTTTGAGGAAAGGACAAAATTCTTTCTAGATCAGAGGTTCTTAGCCTGAGATCATTCAACTTGTTTTTTTAAAACTATTTTAATAGAGCTGTTTTCCTTTGTGATTCTAGGCATTTTATTTTATACATTTAAAAGTACTATTCTGAGAAGTGGTCCATGGGCTTCATGATATTGTCAAAACACTGGAATAAAAACCTATTTTCAAATGCACTTAATCCTGCTTACCAACAGGTTCAGAACTCATAACAAATAATATGTTCCACTGCTGAAACTACACTTTGAAAATGTAACATAAAGAAAGTAAAACATGATTGTTTCCAGATTCACATTTCATTGAACTGAGTTAGCTGAATGAACAGGGGGCCAAATGTCTGAAAGAATAGTACCTATATTACCATGTGCTGCACTGTAATCTCTGAAGCTAAATAAACAAACATATCTGAACAAGTCTGCCCTGCCAAAGTTGAAATGTGGTATGTTTCATTTCAAAAGTATACATATTCTTCTGGCAGACACACATGCTCTGACCCGTAACATTCTGAATCACAGGTGTTTCCCCATTTGCTGTAAAACTGAGCCTATTCACTCATACTTGGGTTTTTCCAAATGTTAACCTAAAGCAAGATATGAAAAAAAGGATTTAATATAAATGGGTTCAAGTGGGGGAAAAAAGTGTCCTGTATTTTCCACTAACCATTGGCAAAACTGATAAAAACAATTTTGATGGGCAAGCACACAAGCAAATAGAACAGAAATATTAATTAGTAATCTATGGTCAACTGATATTAACTCTTTGGCTTGAACCAAAATCTTCTGAATGAAAAGTCAATGTTCTCTTTAAAACAGTCCTTTTAGTTCCTAAAATTCTAATTCATACAAAGACTTTTGGAGCTAGAAAGAGTTAACTTAAATAAAATGGAAACATGGGTTATCTTTTACTTAGGCCTCTTGCCAGATGCCTCACTCCAACAAATCCTATCATAGACTTTGACAACTAACCACTACAATTCAAATTTATGTAAAACTATGCCTCATACAAATATCCCAATGTTTGTTTGAGGTGCATGAAGCTTTCTAATATATGTTCATACTGAGTGTTTGTACGTGTATATGTTTCCTTTTCATCCAATGTTTTGTTCACAAGTGCCAAGTAATGGTGAAATTTGAGCCTTACTACTATGATCATTTTTTATTCCCCTCCCTAACTTATTCTACAGTTCCACAATAATGGCACTGAGCTTTGTCCCAGTGGGTTATACTCTGATGTCATGAGAACAACAAAATTCCAACTTCCCAGAAAATTTTGGACTAGAATAAGGACATACATTTTTGAAGCCTTAAAAACTTTGTTTTTTAATCACAAAAATAATCTTGAGTAAAAAAAGAAAGATGTCTAACTGGTTTTGGTAGCACAAAACAAAGCTTTGAAAGATTCATACCAGTTGAGACTCAGTTCTTACTAGGAGTTGATGAAAGAATACCTTAAATTGGCAGACACAGGACCCAAAACAATGTTTTGCTCTGCCTACAGACTGATTCTTTGGTCAGAATGGAGACCAAAAATACTATGGGAACATGAATTTTTTTTCAGAATTTCTCAAAGTGAGAATTATCAGCTGAACATTTAAAACCTCCTTGGATATTCACTGGAGTAGGAAAAAAGTGTATTTTAATGTGCTTTAAAACTCAGAAACATTCAAGGGGGAAAATTCCCATTTACAGGGGTTAATTATTCAATTTAAGATAATTACTAAAATCTAGCAGCTGAATTACATTAAATGAAGGGTTAATTACCTGTTGAGTCAAATTCCACTGGCTGGCATACTCGATTAGAAGACCAGCTGCACTTGAGCACTTGTCCTCCTTCTACAATGCCAGGTTGGGTAGTGTTTGCTTTGGGAGCTCCAACCAGAAGGAACATCCTTTAAAAAAAAAACACATACACATACATACACAAGGATTCAACATTTGCACAAATTAAAATAAAGCTTCCTAATAATGAAATATCCAGCATTTTTTGACATCTTTAGCAAATATTAAACATGGAGTGACCACAACATGATAGATGCTATTAGTTGTTCGGTTGTTTAATCCAACTCTACATGACTCCATGGACTTTTTGTCCATGGGGTTTTCTTGGCAAAGATACTGGAGTGGTTTGCCATTTCCTTCTCCAGTTTGTCCCCATTTTACACATAAGGAACTGAGGCAAATAAGGGTTAAGTGACTTGCCCAGGTCATATAGCTAGTAAGTGTTTGAGACCTAATTTGAACTCAGATCTTCTTGACTCCAGGCCAAGTGCTCTATACACTGCATCACTCAGCTGATTAGATGCTGTATCACAAAGCAATATAGCCCATTCCTTCTACTCACTAGAATTCTATGGCAGTTAATACATCATGCAATATTTCATCATGCTGAAACTTAACAGATTTGTACTGATTATGGATTCAGACTCATTTTAAGATTTTAAAAGAGGTTTCTTAAATTTGTACTGGCTTATACTTTTCTGAGGAAAAGGCAAAAAGTTTTCAAACTACCCTCCTAAGTGTAAGAAAGCTTCCTGAAAGATACAAAATTGAAGCTTCAAAGAGTTAAAAGAGAGTTAAGAAACAACTGTAACAAACTAAGTGTGGGAAGCAAGGTTTGGAAGTACAAGTCTCCTGGAAAATAGTAGGGTGCAAACTGAAAAGGAAAAATTCAACAAAAAGAGCTAAGAACAAATTTGCTTGATGTACGTGAAAGAAGAAATCAGAAAAGGTCAGAAAAGCCAGAAATGGGGAAGTAAACAGCCTGATTTTGATTCTGGAGCCTAATATTACAAAGAGATAGTTGATGGCTTTGAGTAGAAATACCATGGTCAAATAACATAGTAAGAAATATGTTTTTAAGCAGTGGTGCTCTGAATTAATCAGAAAAGATTTATAATAGAAGCCAAGAAATCATTCGTGTAAGTACCCATTGTATTCAGAGAATTGTTGTAAAGTTAAATAACACCAATATATATTCACTTTTGGACATTTGATGTTTAATTTATTTAACTTAAAAACTTTTTTCTCTTCACTCAATAATTCTACTAAGATATGAGGAGAGGCCAGCAGAGAGGGAAAAAAATATTCAGAATAACAGATTTAGGCTATTCTGATTATAGTCAGTTTCTGGATTGTCAATTTTCTATCTGAGGAAAATATATTTAAGGCAGACTTTCAAGAAGCCAAAAATTTCATTTGTTAGTATTTTCATTTTGTTCTCTAATTTAAAAACACATGCAAAATATATAATAAAAATGACAATATCACCTAAATTATTTTACTTATTCACTGTCACAGAGAATTACTAAGCATTGCTTTGAAGAACTAGAACTACAAAAAGTAATAACAATTTGTCTAGAATAAAAAAAGGTCAAGAATCTCAAGGGAAATAATGAAAAGAAAAGGCCTCAAACTATACTACAAAGTAATAATCATCAAAATGATTTTTTTGTTGCTGTGGGGTAGTTTTTCTGTCACTTCTGACTCTTTGTGACCTCATTTGGGGTTTTCTTGGCAAGGATACAGGAGTGGTTTGCCATTTCCTCCTCTAGCTCATTTTACAGATGAAGAATTGAGGCAAACAGGGTCAAGTGACTTCATAGGGTCACACAGCTATTAAGTAGCTGAGGTTAGATATGAACTCACAAAGACAAGTCTTCCTGACTCCCGCCCCTGTACTCTATCCACTGTACCACCTAACTGTCCAAAAATGGTTTAGTACTGGTTAAAAAAGAAATATTGATCAGATGAACAGATTAGGTACACAACATGTAATCGCAAATAAATAAATAAACAAAACCAAAAAAATAAAAATTAAAAAAAACACCTTTATACCCTAGTGTGGAATAAACCCAAAGACTCCATTCACTATTTGACAAAAAAAAAAAGGTTGTAAAATCTAACATAGTTTGACAGAAATTAGGTTCAGATCAGTATCTCACACCATATTCCACTATAAGCTTCAAATGGATACCTGACCCAAAAACAAAAGGTCACATTTTAAACAAATTAGAGGAGCAAGCTTGCAATTACCTTTTAGATTTATGGATGGGGGAAGAGTTCATGACCAAACAAGGGATTAAAAAGGTCACAAAAGATTAAACTTATAGTTCTGATCACATAAAATTTAAAAGGTTTTGCATAAACAAATACAGTATAGCTAAGATTGGAAAGGAAATAATGTATTATTAAAATATATTTATTTTTAAAAAATTTAAGGGAAACAGTGAACTGGGAAGATTTTTTGCAAGAAGTTTCTCTGATAAAGTTCTCATTTCCATCATATATAACGAACAGATTCAAATTTGCAAGATTGAGAACCAATCTCCCAATTGCTAAATGGCCAAAACAATCGATTTTCAAGGGAAGAAATCTAAGTTAACCAAGGCACGTGAAAAAGGTTCCAAAACATTAATAATTTAGAGAAATTAAAAGTAAAGAAACTCTGAGGTTTAACCTGAAACCCATGAGATCAGCAAAGTTGACAAAATACAGAAAATGATAAATGCTGATCAATGTAATGCTCAACCATGAATTCCAGAAGACCCAATGAGAGAGAATGCTACCCACCTTTGCACAGGGAGTTGATAGACTAAATAAGCAGAATGATGTATGCCTTTTTGGCCACAGCCATAATGGGAATTTGTTTGGCTTGACTATACATATCTTTATTTTTTTAGGGGAAGGAGAAAAAATAAATGTTTGTTGATTGAAAAAAATAATTTAAAGTATTAAAAACTGATTTAAAAATTTGGGACTGATGTAAGGGGTGTATATGTCTAGACTTGTGATTTCATCTGCATGAGGAACTCCAAGAACAGAAATGTCTGCATTGGACCAGAGCAACAATACATCTGTAGTAGTCTTATAAAGTTACCTAGAGTACTGTCAGGTAAAATAATGTGCCCATGGTCACATAAACAAACTGTATCAAAGGCAAGTCTTCTCAACTCTAAGGCAGAACCTCTAGCTACCTTTTAGCTAAACTTACCTACAATTTTTTAGCCTGAATTAGAATGTCAATTTAACTGAAATTTTCATGGGGAAAGTACACTTTCTAAACTCCTAAAAAAAATTAAGTAAATAATTCACAAATCTTTCTAGCAAAAGAAACACATACAATTGCTTTCACATTCACTTAAAATAAGGAGGATCTAAAACCAGAATCAACCCAGTTTTGTTTATATTCATCTCTTTTAAATGCATCCATTGTGGGAAGAATTTGTCAAAAACTAATCTAGAATACTTAATAGCATGAATCATTAAGTTACTGGAAGTCTTCTGAGTTTGAATTCACCTCCTACACTCAAATTCCTACTCATCTAAAATGGACAAAAATAGAAAACAAAGGCAAAGCCACTAACCAAACCCCAGCCCAGTTTTTAAGTTTTATGCAATCATATTTAGAGTTTGAGACTTCAAAACTTTCTCATCAGGATAAAATGTTGGATCTGGAGAACCATGGTATATGAACTTTCCCCTTTTCTTTCCCAGAATCAGTCCTCCATCTTAGTCAGTTCCCCACCATCTCTTCATCAGGGTATCTATATTTGGCATCACTCATCTCTCCTTTCCTCCCACCAATGCAACCTCAGACTCTGATAGGTAATTTCTCTTTATTTTGCCTAGATCCAAGCTCCATGCCACTTCCTGGACATCTGCATACCACCAATCCTCTTTCCAGCTCTCCTTTATGTATTGTCTTCTCCCATTAGAATGTAAACTTCTACTTCTGGACCAATAAGATATTTGAGAGTCCAGAGGATCTCTGAAACCTCTCCAAAATAAGAATTATACACAATAGATAAAACCGCTGCAGCTGTATATGGTCTAAGCCCCTAGGAATCCTAAGGATGTAACAACCAGACTAGTAACAACAAAGAAGACTAATCCCTAAAGTGCTTACCTAGCTCCTTCTCCCTCCACCATCCCCCAGGCTCTGGGGGCAACACTTCTAGTAATAGAATTCAATTCTGTCCCTCTTCTTTTACTCTCACCCAATGCACAGAGGCAGAGGTAGAAATTAAGCCCTCTACCCACGACTACAATTCAGCAGTATATTATACCATACCAGTGCTCAGCCAGAGAACTAAAGAACAGAGAGAACAACAGTATGTGTAGGGCTCCACCTGGCCTGCAGGAAATGAGACTGGCATCCAGCTGAGACCAGTTCTATTCTACCACTTGGAACAGAAACTGAGGCCAGTGAAAAGTGAAATGCCTAGGAAAGAAGGACACTAAGACAGTTTAAGGTCCATCAAAGGAGAAGGAGTCAGGAAGTGATAGGAGAATAAAAGAAAAAGTCTGAAATTACCCAAGATATCAGAAGAAACATCAGTTAAAAACCTTGAACACATGCAGATAAATCAACAGGAAGGATTTTAATAACAGAAGGGAATATGGCTCCCAAATCAGCTAAACAAAAGACACCTCTAAATAAATATTTTAAGACAAAGGAAAATTAATCAATATCTGATGAGAGAGAGAAGACTTTATAGATTCTCAAAAGAGCTTGGAACCACAGCAGGAGGCTCCCAAATGCTTCATCATGAGAGGAATCAGAATTGTGAAAACATAATTTATGGCCTGCACAGCAGAAATAATCAGCAAAATATTAAAAAAAACTTGAATCCCCCAGTGGCAAATCTCATTGAAGAAACAAAGGAGTGAAAGATGCATTGGAATGCAAATATGAAGAAGTGAAGGATGATCCTGAAGAAGAGAAGATAAAGCAATAATCTTAAATGAAAATCGATCTTTATAAAAAACAAAACATATTGATTTCGAAGACAAGATTAGTCTCCCAAAAGAACAAGTCAAAAAACCAGAACATCATGATGCAAGAAATGAAATCTGCCCAGAACTTTTGAACACTGCGCACGCGTGCCCC